TGTTATAATTGTTTAGTTCCCTTATTCAAGTTACTTAAAATTTATTACATACTAAATAATATCTTTTAAAATTGTTTTTTTCCTTTTAGACCTTTTTTAGTCCCTTTAGTTATTTAGGTCAGTGTGGCGCAGGTTTGGCATTAAAAAAACTGCTTAAATAAACCTAATAAAACCCGGGTAAATCTGAGAGTTATTGAGTTTTTTAAAGATATTTAATAAGTTTATGAACTGTTATAATCAACTTTAACGTTATTAACTATAATATTATCTAACATAATTATTAACTATTGTTATTAACTAAATTATTATTAAGTTATATTATTAACTATTTTAACCTACAATAACAGCTAACAGACTAATATTTGAATCATTACTTGGAAATACATTAAAACAATTTTTGTTAAAATATTTTTATCAGTTGAGATTTTTTAATCTTTTATGTTATTCACCTCCCTAGGTGAATTTAAATGAGTATTAGTGGCCAGAGAAAGCCACAACAGTCGAGGAGGCTACCTTGTGGTTACAATCCTCTTTGAACTCTTTAACTCCTAAACACAATTTTTTATAAACAAGGTCATTGCGCAAAGAAACAAGTTCGTTCATCACTGAATCAAATAAAAATGTTATTAAGCGGTTAATATCAAACAACATAGGAGTAGTTAGTAATTGGGAGGGGAAATATGCCTTTGGCAATAGCAAGCTTTGTCAAATTATAAATAGTGCGTTATTTTTGTTTTGTTTTAAAATGTCATTATTTCATCTTACTATTGATGTTTTTTTTATTAATATATTTTTTTTTTAAATATTAGCTTAAAATTTTCATCGTTTTAAATAAATGAAAGTAAATGAGTTTATAGTTAATACTTAAAAGTGTGTATGCATAATACATGTTTATTTTATTTAGATGCTGTTCGGCGTAATCCTACAACATGTCGCGGTACGGATGCAAGGTTGCTTGTGCCATTAAAGCATGGCTTCGATTCGCTAAATTCGTATGGAGGGAGGAGAAGAAACATCATTTTAACGATTTTAATTATATAGTTTTATATATAGTTGATGATTTTTTTGTATGTGTGTAATAGTTTAAATTATTTTGTTACGAATAAACATTTAAAAAGAAACCAACAAATTTATTAACTTTAATACTTTTATGTAACTTTAAATACTTTTACATTTTCAACTTTCATAGTAAGTTAGTTCAATGAGTATCAAATCATCCCAGTCGTCACACAACACGTTGCTAACATTGTTGGAAACAATGTTTAAAGTCTTAGGCCAACGTTAATAAAATGCACAAATGCGAATACAATATAAAACTAACAGTGTGCCAACGCAATGACAACAACATTGAGTATACACGATGCCGACATAGGCCCGATGGGCGGCCGATCATATGTCAACGCGATTCCAACCTTTAAACATTATTACGCCAACATAGCCCCTACAAATCCATACCAACGGTGCGCCAATGTAAAGTCAATATTATACAAAATGCGTTATGCCAACGTGTCGCCAACTGTTTTACTTGGTTCGGCCAACGTTGCGCCAACAATTTAAAACCATAAGTGGGCCAACGTTGCGCCAACAATATTAAGTGTATGTTACGCCAACGTAGGCACGATGGGCAGCCAACCATATGCCAGCACGACGCCAACTTACGGCCTACCAAAACGCCTCGTTGGCCCAACAATCAGAAATACGTTGACCCAACGTTGAGCCTACTAAGTTGTGCTGCTCGGGTCGCTGAAGCAATATTATTATCAAGTTCATTTTATTGCCTAATTTTTTCAAAGCTAGGGAATTTAATTTATAAAAGTAGTTAGTTTATTCTGTTAATATATTTTAGTCTTAAAATGCCTAGGAGCAAGGTGGGTGTTTTTCTCAGTGAATTTTGTGCTTCAACAAAAAATGAGTTTAAGTAAAGCTGCAAGATATTGCAACATTAGAAATCAACTTTGATTTATCAGTTAAAGCAATTTAAAAAGTTTGGTAGTTGCGAATATTTATATTCACATACCAAATAAAAAAAAATTTTATCAACAGAAGAAGAATTAACTACTTGGCAGATGCTGCATTATGGACATACATTAAAGCAGATAAGGCCCTTTGCATATGAGTATGCTTTAGCGAATCATAAAAAGAGATTTTCGCAAAAGATATATTAACAAGCTATCTCTACGTAAACTACAACCTACAAGTCTTGGTAGATCTTCTGCATTTATTAGAGAAACCGTAAGAACTGTATATAAAAATTAAAAAAATGTTTTAGAACGTTATCATTTTGATCCAAAAAATATTTGGAACTGTGATGAAACAGGAATTACAACAGGTAATGTACCACCAAATATTCTAGCTCCAAAAGGCAAAAAAAAAATAGGGAACATAACTAGTGCTGAAAGAGGCAATAATGTAACAATAATTGCAGCCATTAATGCTACTGGAAATAGCATCCATCCCAGTTTTAAATGTACTGAGTTTTATCCATTTAATGAAAATATTTTTACTGATATTGACTGTTTAGCTGCAAATGTTACTAATATTCCAATAGTGAATACTGAAGCTTACATTTTTAATGCAAGTATTGATGTTAAAACTGCTCAATCCAGTTTACCATCAACATCATCTGTTGTTTTAGGGGAAAACACTACTGGGAGTTTTCCATCAAAATCATTTTTTGTTTTACTTAAAATAATATGACCTCAACTTAAAGCCAAATTAGGAAAAACAAATACTTCAAAAAGACGAATGGAAAATCACAAATTTTAACTAATACTCCTGAAAATAAAGTTGTTCTAGATTCAAAATTTAATAACCAACAATTTAAAAAGTCCTCTTCAAGCAAAGGAATAAAAAAAATTGCAAAACAGATTATTTTTAAGTCAGTCTGGCAGGTGTTTAAATAACGAAAGCTCTGATAAAATTAATTTTGGAGTAAATACACTTGATAATGAGAGTAAAATTCTGGAAGTTTTTTAATTGCCAAGTTGAAAAGAAATACTCTAGATTTTATGTAGCAGAAGCTATAGATGTTGTTGGCATTGTTTACAAAATTAATCTTAAAAAATCAGGAGACTTTTATAGCAAATTTATAAGAGAAGATGACAATCTTTATGAAGTGGAACTTGAAGATATTATTATGAAACTTCCACCACCAAGTATTAGTGGTGATTTATCCAAATGTCAGTATCTTATGTTTGATGTTGATCTGACTATTTGTAATAGTTAATATATTATACTCTCTTATTATTGTGTTTTTTATTGTCATCATTAAAATATTTCCTTTAAAAAGCATTATGAAAATAAGTAAATGAATATAGACCACCAGCTGATATAAGTTATAAAAATATATTTTTGGTCTTTTCTTATCTAAAATAATAAAAATAACTATAGATAATAGAAAACATATTTTGTATAACTAAATGACATTTAAAGTTTTGGACCTGATTTTGCATGATTTTTTAATAATAACGTTTTGGTCAAAGGAACAACGTATGTGTAATACCTTTGACTTCTTTTTTTATAACGCGGAAAAAAGATACTTCTTGGTCGAATTTTTGTTTGCTATTGTTATTAATTGAGTGTTTTCATATTTTTTTGTCTTATTATTTATTTTATTATAGTTTTATCGTTTTTACTATTATTTTTAAATTAATTTAATTTATACATGCTTTTATTTATCATTATTGCTGTGTTTTTTTTTTTGTTTGTTAATATTAATTATCACTCATATAACTAGTTTTTAACTATTTATAAATATTTTTATAGGGATATACAACTATATTTGATGATGATTTATTGAGATTGTAAATTACAAGCGGTGCTCAAAGACAAAAATGATGTCTGCAAGTCTCCGTGCTTTTTTATAAAACTAATACTTGTGTAACTGTTTTATTTTTTATAAACTAGAACTATTAGTTCTTATTTTATCTTATTATTTAAATGTTGACGATTTTATTGTAAACGATTTACTAAAACGTTCATTTAAAAAAAAATTAAAAACATATATACATATATATATATATATATATATATATATATATATATATATATATATATATATGTATATATATATATATATATATATATATATATATATATATATATATATATATATATATATATATATATATATATATATATATAGACTTTTGACCGGTTGCTCTAATTGACTAAAAAACATCTTTTATGGAATCCTCGATCCCAAATACCCCTAATTAGACACCTAGATAGTCATTTTAGCTTAAAAACTTATAATTATAAAAGTTTACAAAAATCGTTATATTTGATATATTTTGCTGGAATATCTTGCGTAGTTACAATAGGATGTTTTGGTTAAACTTAAGTTTATTTAGTAGGTTATACAAAAAATTTATGAAATATCGTTTATAAGTTGCTGCATTTATATTGCCGCATTTGAAACCGTTGAATTAGCATCTGAATTAGCTGCTTTTTAAATGATGCATTTGAGTTTATACGTTAAATCTTCAATAAATATTGTTTATAAACTATTGATAACTTTAAGTTCTTAATCGATGGCTAAACGAACACGTAAAAATAGTCAAAGTATGGAAAAAAGATATTATTAATTACAGGTGAAAAAACCTGAATAGTAAAGAGTAAGAGCAACATTGTTTCTTGTGAGAAGGTAAATTCTTATAATTCTTGTGAGAAGGTAAATTCTTATAATTCTTGTGAGAAGGTAAACTCTTATAATTCTTGTGAAGAAGGTAAATTCTTATAATTCTTGTGAAAATTTCTTGTGGTAATTCTTATAATTTTAAAGCGCATATTTCTTGTCAATGCAATAGAGAAAACAAAATTTCTACAATAGAACTTCAGTTTATAAAATTTTAAAGAGAAAAATTTGGAACAAAAAGTAGTATTTTTTTTTTTTTATTATTTATTCAATTTGCCGTTGATAAATATTACAAAAAAGAAATTACAATAAAAGAAAATCCTGGCCGGAGCAAGAAGAAGACAGGTTGTCTTATCACCGAGCC